AAACTCTTTGACGGCGCCTGGAAAGTATTACTCAAAAAATTTCCAAGCATGGAAATCAAATCAGGAATGTCAAGTATTCAGGCATTTATCAGCCACCAGAAGGATATTAATGGATTTGCTTATGTTTTTTATTACAACTTAGTTGATGTTCTTGAAGTGAAAGATAATATTGGGGACTTGTTGAGCCGGATAAGCGCCATGAATATTCAGCTTGATATCACTATTAATTCAGACATTACCCGGTTGTATTTGGACTTGATAAGCAATTACTTTGCCCTCATGTTCTTCCTCACTCGGATACCTGATATTAAATGTATACTTATTCTTTATAATTTCCTGTATGAGCAGGCAAACGGCCGCCAAGAACCGAATTATCCCCGAATGGCCGAACTTTTTACTTCCTCTCCGGAAGTAGTTCTTCGTAACCTGAGTCTTGAAGTCAATCCACACGCTCGAATTTTGTCTGGTGCTCTGAGGTCTCTCGGTGATTTTTTTGTTCGTCGTACTGTACGAGCGCAGAATTGGAGCTATGGAAATTTTCTGAATATTCTTAGCGAGCCCTCGAAATTAACTCATACTCTTTTAAGTGACCAACTTGCTTGTGAACTCATTCCGTACGAAATAATGGAGCGTTGGATTGTCTTTGGTTACTTAATGATCTATCCAGAACTCTCTTCAGATGACGCATTCAATCAACTCAAAATGACACTGCGAAATACTTATGTTGTTGTTCTATTCCGCGATGATGTCATCCACATCCATTCTTTGCTTCAAACATTTCTAGAATCGGTATGGACATGTAAGATTGGCTCTAAGCGTGTCAGTGAAATTAAAGAAACCTTTATAACAGCTTGCTCGCAGGCACCAGAAGTTCATGCAGATCGTAGGGCATACCTGCGAAATGCTTTGCGTCAGCTTAATTTAATCTTTGCCGATGAACCTGGTCTCTTGGGTCCTAAAGCCTTTCTTGTATTCTGGAGCCTTTCATATGCTAGCGATGAACTGCATTGGCTTATTAGACACATTGCCAATCCTCCAAATAAGAAAAGTGGAATTTCTAGTGGTGGTTCTGGATTATCTAAGTCAGAAGATCTAATCGACCCCTTCTTACCTGAGCTTCTTTTCTATATGGACGAGCTGCGAGGCCTTATTTTGCGTCATTC